ATCTTTAATGTCTTAGATCTTTCTGATTATGTAAATCCTTATAATTGAAGCAATGTTTACACTATTTAAAATTTATCCATTAAAACTTGTACCCTGAAAGTGCAGTCCAAACGGGAGAGAGCAAAATAAAAATAAATAATACAAAGAAGACTACAAAAGGAAGAAAAAATAAGAGAATCATATATAGTTATACAGTATATTGAGATATTAAAAAAAATATTATAATGTTAGATCGCGTGATAGTTCAAGTAGAATCTTTAGATGTACTGATCTTTGTTATCTAACACGATCATTGGTCAGATTATGAAATTTTTTGCAATCGTCTGATTCATCAGTAGTGGTAGCACTTTATCCTAGCAATGCCCAGAAAATTAAATCGTGGCAAACAACAACGCAAGTTCAAGCATGAAAAAGCTCAAAAAGAACTGGAAGAACTAGAAGAAAACTGCAAAGCTTTGGTAAACCACAATTTTTCTGGGTTTTTAGAGTAATCACTTCGAAACATAACGTATTTTTTATCAGACAAATGATTCGAAATTCGAAAAATTCGGCGAATTGCCTCTATCCCTTTTGACCTTGAAAGGCTTACAGGAATCAAATTATGTTGAAATGACTGAAATTCAACGTAAAGCGCTCCCCCTCGTTTTACGTGGAGAGGATATTTTAGGAGCAGCCAAAACCGGCAGTGGAAAAACCTTGGCCTTTTTGATTCCAGTAAAGTGAATAATGCCAATGAATTCTAATTTTTATTTTTATAATGTATTTTTTTTTTAATTCTCACTTCTGATAATTCATATTTCATAGTTAATTGAAACATTATATCGACGGCAATGGTCGCAGTTGGATGGATTAGGTGCTCTTGTGATAGCTCCAACACGAGAATTGGTATTTCTTTGCCGATGTATTTAAGCAACAGGTCAATATTCGCTTATATATCTAATATATTATTTTTTATAGGCAGTTCAAATTTTTGAGGTTCTTCGAAAAGTTGGACGACACCACTTTTTATCAGCTGGGCTTATAATTGGAGGAAAGGATTTACATATCGAACAAGAACGTATTAATAGAATGAACATCCTTATATGTACTCCTGGGCGTTTGTTACAACATATGGACCAAACTGCAGGTTTCATTTGTGATAATTTACAAGTCTTAGGTATTAAAATTATCTTATTGTCACATATGATTCAAAATCATGACAATTCAATGAATTAAAATTTTTTGTATTTTTATAGTTTTAGATGAAGCAGATCTAATTCTTGACATGGGTTTTGAGAAAACTGTTAATGCCATAATAGAAAATATTCCTAAACATCGCCAAACTCTTTTATTTTCAGCAACACTAACTAAATCTGTCAAAGATCTTGCTCGATTGAGTCTTCAGGTGTGTCTTAAATTCAAATGGTGTTTGAATTTTTAACATATAGATTATTTTTAATATATATATATATATATAAAAGAATCCAGAACACGTAGCCGTGCATGAAGATTCTGATCACAGTACACCACCAAGTTTATTGCAGCATTATTTGGTGTGTGAATTACCTGAAAAATTAGACATTTTATTTTCATTTATTAAGTCTCATCTTCAAGCAAAAGCTCTGGTATTTTTGTCGAGCTGTAAGCAGGTATGCAACCAATCTCTGTTTAAAAGAGTATATCTCGATTAATAAATAGTTAATTATATAACAAAACACCCAGGTCCGCTTTGTATTTGAAACTTTTTGCAAAATGCAACCGGGAGTCATATTACTTCATTTGCACGGAAAGCAAAAACAAACAAAGCGTGTAGAAATATTTAATAAGTTCTCTTCTTTAAAACATGCATATCTGTTTGCCACGGATATAGCCGCAAGGGGTCTGGACATTCCAGCCGTTGACTGGGTAATACAATTAGATGCCCCAGGAAATGCAGACATATACATTCATCGCGTAGGACGTACAGCAAGGTATGAGGCATCTGGGCTTGCATTGCTATTTTTGTTGCCAAGTGAAGAACAAGGGATGTTGAAAGCTTTAGATCAAAAAAAAGTACCGATTGCAAAAACTAAAGTGAAATCAAGCAAAACAATGAGTATACAGAAACAACTGCAATCTTTTTGTTTTCAAGATCCTGAAATTAAGTATCTGGCACAAAAGGTTAGTAATAACTAAATATGATAAAAGTACTATTTCTTTTTTTTTTTAAAAAAAAATAAAATTTATATAGATCATTCATTCCTTGTTAAATTTTTTTTTCATATGTTGCTTATCAGGCTTTTATATCATATATGCGATCAATTTATCTTCAAAGTGATAAATCAATATTTAAGGTAGATGAATTACCTGCGGAAGAATTTTCCGCTTCTCTTGGGTTACCTGGTGTGCCAAAAATTAAATTTGTCAAAGTAACTTATTATTATTATTTAATATCATATTACCCGCGTAATTTCTTCTAATGATGTACTATTATATAGAAATCACAAGTAAAAAACGCTATTCGTGAAAAGCCTAAAGAAGTAACTGATTATGAAAGCTCAGAAGATAATCAGTCATCAAATTCTGATAATGTTTCAGATGAAGAAAAAAAAAAGAATTCAAAACCAAAAACTAGAATAGAAAGAATTTTTAATCGTAAAAATATGTCCGTTTTTACTGATCACTACAAAAAACTTGTGGATCGAGGAAGTGACAATATTACGGATGAAGACGATGAATTCATTATTCTCAAACGTGTCAATCATGAACTATCTTTGGATCTAGAACAACAAGTAACGTATTGGAACAATATTATTTAGTTATTTGTCATATCATAGAGCTATCGACCAAAAGTTTGATAAGTTATTGCAAATGACGACCTATCATGACAGATTATTTGTTTCTTAATTTAGTTTTTTAATTTTTGGATTCATTAAATATTTTAAACTTTTTCGGTAAAAAAAAGAAATAGTTAAAGTCATCTGTCATAATAGGCTATAATGATCTTAAATATAATTTTATTATGTTTATCCCAACTTTCTTTTTAATTATGGTTATTTTTTTCTTTGTTAGAACCGTAAAAAATTATCAAAACGTAAGCTTTTGAAAGCCAAATCAAAGAAATCTGCGATTAAGAATGCGGCTAAAGGAAATAAGCTAATATTCGATGATGATGGAAATGTAAATATAATTTGTTATATTGTCAATACATTGGCGTTTTAATTTATTATTTATGATATTTTGCCAAATTCAGCCTCATCAAGTGTACGAATTTCAAGATGAAAAGGAATTCCATTTAGTTGATAGTGCGTTAGCACAAAAGCGGGCATTTCTTGAAAAAGAATTAGAGGTA